CGGCACCTTCACCTCCCAGGTTCAAGCGATTCTCCTGCCTCGGCCTGCCACACAGCTGGGACTACAGGCACCCACCACCACGCCTGGCTAATTTTGTATTTTTAGTAGAGACAGAGTTTCACCATGTTAGCCAGAATGGCTTCAATCTCCTGACATCGCAATACACCCTCCTCGGCCTCCCAAAGTGCTGGAATTACAGCCATAAGCCATCATGCCCAGCCCACTATTTGCAATCTATATTTAGAAATGGGGAAACTGAGACTCATAGAGGTTATGTGCTTTGCCCATGAACACAGAATCAGTACTTAGATCTAGGTCAGGTTGAGTCCAGATCTCACTTACTATGTTTGAAGGCTATAAGGAACCCTAGAGATGATTAATGTAGTGATATTTTAATCAACTTTATCATTATATAATTTGTATACAGTAAATCTTGTCCAATTACAGTTTGTAATTCTATGAGTTTTGACAGATGCTCACAGAATCACCATGACAATCAAACTACCTGACAATTTCATCACCTACAAAAGTTTCCTTTTGTCCTTTTGTAACCCCTCCATTCCTCCCTCTGCCCCGCCAATTCCTGGCAACCAGTGATCTGATTTCTTTCACTATATGTTAGTTTTTATTTTTTTAATATTGACTATACTTTTGTGTCTGGATTCTCTCACTCAGCCTACTTTTGAGATTAATCTATGTTGTTGCATGTACCAGTAATTTGTTCCTTTTTATTGCTGAATAATATTTCATTGTGCACATTTATTACATCTTAAAAACCCATTTTCTGTTGATGGGCATAATGCAGTATTTTTCAAATCTTGATTTATATAGTTTTTAGGGGTTCAGTTGTGGTGCCTGGAGCCTGTTAATGTGGGGGCCATTTCCTGTGAGCTACTTCATTTGAAAAGGGGGTTCTAAAACTAAAAGAAAAGGTTTTGATAATGATCTATTACAGACAACTGATTTTAGATGAGAAATCTGAGGCTCAGAGAATGTGGAGTAAATTTCCCAAGATCATGAAAGTGTTTGGAAGCAGATCTAGGACGAAGACCCAGGTATCCTGTCTCCTGGTCTCATTCTTCTTTGGGCCTCCACCACACATGATCAAGTCATCTCCCGAGCAGCGTTTTCTACCTGTTTGTGATGACCCAGACACAAACAGGTAGAAGAAATACAATGCACAGTATCTAGAACTACCGAGCAAGCAGATACTCAGTGTGTTCCTCTTACCATGACTGCTGGGGGCTGCTGTGACATTGTATGGTTTTGCAAAGGGAGTACCACAGATACAAGGAGACTGTCTCACATGCTTACTAACTAAATGAAAAACAATTGAGGATGAATAAACCACTTATCAAAACAGCTTAATTTCAAAATAGACGCAACATTTATTCAAATTGTATATGTTGTTAAAGGTATGTGATACTCTTAGTCTCTGAAATAATGTTTGAATATCAAGAAAGAAAAAAATTCAGAAAAAGGCAACTGAATTCAATCTTTATCCATTTAGCAAACATTAGTTTTCTACTTGCAGGCAGGCACTGTGCTAGGTATTAGGATAAGACTCATGCTTTCTGCAAAATGTTCCCTACTATCAAGATAAACCTTTCAAGCAAACATTGTGAAATAAACATAAACTGGCACAATCAATGAAATATTAAAAGAAATAAAGAGTGCCTTCACATAGAGGAAAATTTAGAAATTAGGTGAGATATTAAGAGTATAGGTTTTCATGATTCTGCCTTTGGAGAGAAAAATATTCCCTTCTTTATTACAGGTTGGTTTACAGCTTAAAATGAGATGCACATTTTCACTAATGGTTCCTCTACTACAAAATGCTATAGCTATGTCACTAGGTTCTTTCTCCCTTTATTGACTTGTTGGTATGGGCACAGCCTACAGACAGAGTGACATAGTGGAGTCTGGAGATGGAGGTAGTACAATTGATTCTGCTACTAACTAACTGTGTGACCTTAGTTATATCTCTCCCTGGCCTTCAAACTTGTTCATCAATGTAACAGGAAGATTGTGTTTAGTTACCTAAGGACCTCTCTAGTTCTAACATTCTGCATCTAGGTGTTATTTTATATTGGACTTTCTCTTATTTTCTTTAAAAAAATGCGAGCATGTCATCAATTTATTCTGCAACTTGCTTTTTCCATTTGACAATATATCATGAACATTCCTCCAAATCAATATATAGAGATTTATCTCTCTGACTATAAATGTTAGCTTTGACTGTAAAAGAAGGCAAATACAGCAGCAAGTTAACACAGCTCTGGCCTTTCCAGCACTAACATTCAGTTTCTAGGCACTAACTCTAGAGGCTATCTAATTTTACATTGATATTAATTTATTTTAAAGATAAAAATGAACTCTGTGAGGGTGTTGTGAAATGAAATCGATGCTGGGCTTTTGAAAATTCCTGAGGTTGAGTAATACTTCTCTGCCTGATCAACCACAAGGATCCCATGAAACCTTCCACTGGGCTCCTCTGTACTCTCCATCCCAAATGCCTGAGTAGTGAAGCTCACCTTGCTTCACCCTGGAAATTAAGATGGAAAGACTGTGTTGAAACTGAGACGGTTCTGTCAAAAATTGAGAAGAAACTTTACAAACTGAAAACCAGGCTCCATATGATCATTTTCCTTGAAATATTCATGGAGATTTCAGAAAAAGACACAGTGCTCCATTCATACGATTTGGGCTTTCAGTCGAAGAGCACAGGCCCTGGGGCAAAACTTGTTAGATTCCATCCTTTCTTCTGCCACTTCTTCACTCAAGTCACCCTCTGCTTTGGTCTCTGCACCTGTAAAGTGTAGCACTCTGAGTTTGTTCAGGCAAACAGAAACTACTCTATAGCTATTTCAGGAAGGTATTTAATACAGAGCATTAGGGTCCTACAAAGCCTTTGGAAGGGCTATAAAAGAAAACATAAGGGAACGTTGCCAGCAAAATCAGACAGTTGTAGGAATTGCAGGAATCATGGGAAATTTTAGAGATTATTAGGAAACTGCTGCTAATGATGTCACTGAAGCAGATGTTTCATAGGAGAATGCTCAGAAGTCACTTAAATCTTTTCTGATCAAGCCCACACGCCTAAACAAGATGTCAGGAAGAGCAATGATAGTGTCTACTTTTCTGCTTGCCAAGTTTCCTGCAAGTACCTCTCATGGGTGGAATCCAAAACTGAACTTTACTGACAAACGAGGGTAGAAAATGTAGCTTCCAATCTTGAAAACACAGGTGAGAGCTGGCAAAAGCAGGGATAGTGTCGAATGTGACTTCACAGATTAGTTATGAGAATATATATGATTCAATTTATGTAAATAAAGCACTTAGAACAATGTCTGCCTATACTTAGAGTTCAATAAATGTTAGCTGTCATGATGGTGTCCAGATTATCTGTGGCTAAAATGCCAGGAATTGAAGTGCCTACTTGCTTCCTAAATAGTGCATCCTGAGGCTGCTCCTTCAATTGTGCATTCAAGCATTCATACAGATAGCATCCATTGAATACATATTTATCACTTGCCTGCCATGTAGCAGGAACTGTGCTCATCAGTAGGGATGCAGTGGTGAAGGAAGCATACTTGTTCCCTTCCCTCAAAGAGTTCACCTCAAAGGTGGAGAGACAGACATGTATACAGGCAACATTATTTTGTAAAGTTATATCTTCTTAGTTCTTATGTTGGTAAAGCACTCAAACATTACAGCTTATTTTATTCTTGAGCACGCATTGTCTCCTATCATCCTCAAAATAATTTAATGAGATAAGTAGAGCAGATATTGCTGTAAATATTATTAACTGTCATTTGCAGATGACAAAAAAATTAAAGAGGCAATAATATTATCAAGATCAACAATTAGTAACAGGATTGGGGTTGGAATACAATTCTCCTGATACCTAGATTAATGATCTTTCTGACGAGAGCCTGATGGGTTCATGGAGTTCTTCGAAGAGGAATAGAAAGAAGATAAGACTGTTGCTAAGCAGAGAAAGGAAAAGACACTGCAAGTTCAGA